CTTCAAAGTTATAGGATGATGCTCGCAATCCTCCGTGTCTAAATGCATATATATATATGCGTATATACTATTAATATTTTATGAATAGTCTAAATCAATAGAAGATGTACATAATATTATTTTTCAAAGTGAAATAAGCGTAGTGACCGATGACACCGTTTGCAGAACTGTGTAGATCTTGATATGAAGATTCGAATATATGATGCTTTATTTGTAGAAAATGCAAAGTTGCCATAAGACAATCATTCCGTATTTGGTTAAGGCTTGTCTGGATCCAGGTGGGATTTCGGTGAAACGATGCTTCATTAAAAAGCATCTGCTTCCGTTTCTACATTTAACATGCTCAATAATTTCACAGAAAAGCAAGCTACACACACTCGTTTATTAACGGTCCCGTGCTTAATGCCATATAATCATAGCTTTGACTAGAAGAAAGGCTGAATTATTTAGTCCGAACTCCAAAAAGTGTTTCGCCTAGTAGGCAAGTATACATTTGGCGCTTCATCAAAATAGTATGTCCAGAGGGGACCATTTAGAAAATATGTGTGCCGACTTGAATGCATTTGCACAGGTACCATTTAAAGCACGTTGGATCGACTGAATGTTACTTATGAAACGTGGAAAAAGCTTAAATTGGATAAATTTTCCTTTGCCAGGCGGAACAAGCTCTCTCGCGTATTTATTATAGGCTGAATGACTAATTATTTCCAGGCTCAATAGTGAAAAGATTAAAAGGCACTTTCGACATAATAACCGTTTGTGACTAGATCATGCATGTCATAAAATTATAATTTTACGTATGCAAGTAGAGTTTCGAGACTATCAGTAAATCAGTAATATGAATTGCATTTACCCTACTTCGTTTATGCTAATGAAGGACTGGTAGTAGCATTTTCCCACAATGATATGAGTGGAGCTGATGTTCCCATTGAATTTCACATAGCCTCTACTTACATATGAAAAATAAGTAATATAGACGAATGGTTAAAGTGTCAAACTTACATTCTGCACTGTCACGGTTTGACTCCCGCTGGGGTTGTTGATAAGATCGAGGCGAGGTCGAAACTACCGTCCACTGGGGCCTGGATGAGAACAACTTTCGGGAAATTGAATGGAAACGTCAGCTCTACTCATATCATCGTGGAAAAATTCTACCACCAATCCTCAATCAACTTAAACGAAATAGGGTTAATACATCTCATATAAAATTATAAGACAAAATGAGGGGGCTTGCTTTAATTCATTTCCAATGGGCGTATCATAAGACATAATTATTTTCCAGTTAATCAGATACTACTACTTAAAGAGGCTAGTAGCATGAATAAATATTTAATTGTGCATATAGAGGAGAGATTTTAAAACTATCCTTAATTTTTTCACATGAATTAGGATCAGCTGAGGTTGAATAAAGCGATATCAGGCTTTATAACTGGGTCTCCCACAATTAAAAAAGTGAAAGTTGTCAGCATGCCATTGAATACCATTAAGTCTTCTATCAAAAGCCCTTCTCATACAGGCTGTATCTCATCAGCACTCTCAATAGGAATGAAAAAATCGTCTCGCATTGACAATAAATCATAACCTTAGTTACAATTGCACTCACTTCAATGTTTTAAGCTCAATTTTCCGGCTCTCCATCACCTAAAGCGACTTTATTTGAACCTGGGGCTTATAAAATACTTTCCTAAATGTTCAAACTTATTCATTTTGGCTATACTAATATGATTGATATTAATGGCAAAACTAGTTGAACACATCCAAACCAGTCGCTTAATGAAAATACTTTTAGTTTATATTTGTCTGAATCGCCTTTAAAATCAAATAGTTTCTTTCGTTCAGTGGCACCAGGGCTGGTTGGCCCTGTGATGGAATGGTGACCTTTGACAAGCACGACTCGGTTTCGAACCCTGTCAGAAGTGGTGACGTGGACCCGGTGAGGACAAGAGTGGATAGATGCCGGACCGTAAAACCGTATGGTTGACAGGATTAAGGGAACTTCAATTGCTTAGTCCGGCTTTCGAATCACTTCATTGTGTAAAACCACACTGTCCGACTTGCCCTCCCTTTAAGCGACATAAGTTGACCAGTGAGCATATAAATAATGTATTTAATTAATTATATCTATGCGTAAACACGATTAGTTTGATACATAGTTTTTGATACAGAATAAATACTATGATATACTATAATACTATATTCATATTTTGTTAGTTGTCGAAAATAAGAGGCTAATTTTGCATATTTTATCCATGCCGCTCATTGACATGATACTTAACGGGATACCCTTATTTTTCCTGCAAAATCTCGGCACCAGGTGCTGAAAAACTTAAATTTTAAGTGATAACTGGCAGATTTGTACTCCACTACAGATTAGGTATGGAAATATGGATAAGAATGCTTCATGAAGCCCAATTCAGTTACCATAGTTAACTTGTTTCTTTTAGGGAAAAACACTTTCAACTCTTTCAAGTAAACGAAACCCTACTCAATTACGAATATCAATAATTGTTGAATAATAGTTTAGTAAGACAAAGTCTGATTGTTTAGTTTTCCCACACTTAGATGAGCAGGAATCAAAAAGACATCGAATCTCACTTAGCCTTGTTTCCAAAAAGGCAATTGACGTGGTTACTTATTTTCATATGAAAGTAGAGTTTCGAGAATACCAGTAAATCAGTAATATGAGATGTATTCATCCTATTTCGTTTAAGCTCATGAAGGAATGGTAGTAGAATTTTCCCATTGAATTTCGCATAGCTTTGCTTTTCCCAAAGTTGTTCTTATGTGAAATTTAATGGAAACCTCAGCTCTACTCATATGATTGTGGGAAAATTCTACTACCATTCCTTCATGACCTTAAACTAAATTTGGTGAATACATCTCATATTACTTATTTTCAGTATAAGCGACCTGGAATGACTAAGTTCTTATTCAAGCATTACAGATATTTTTGACACCGGTTTCGAGTCCTGTTGTGAGGACTGACAAGACCAGTTCAGGCAAAGTCGAAAGCCCAATAGAGTCCGGCCTAACTGGGATGAGATAGCCTTTTGGAGGGTGAGGATAAGTAGAATTGCATAACATCCTGAGGCCTAGTCATCTGATTGTGGGAGCGCTAAACTATCAGTTCTTAAATCATTTTAGGCGACTTTGGCGAACAGACTTCTTGCGTCAGGTAAACTGTCGGAATTCGGTTGTCCCAAAGGACTCGTAAGACTGTCACTTTCAAGTAAACCAAAATCCTGTAGCAGAATTTCGGCCCTATTACCAGACACGAATAAGTCAAATGATTGTAACAGTGCTCTCACTTGTTGTCAAGTTAGGACGGCTATTAAGAAGATATTGTATTGGTAATTTTAGGGGGTAATCGGCCACTGAAGGAGAAATATGAAAAAAAATAAAACCTATCCAAAGTCGAGAAGTGGATTTCGTTTAAGCCGATCATCCTCAAGTTATGCAGAAATGGTTATTTCTGCTGTATGTAACAATATTAAATAGACGAAGATATGAAGAGCAAGCTGGTGTGGCCTTTTGTGTGGTCGCAGTCTACTTTGTTTTATATAGTAGTCATGTGAATTTGTCTTGGCAACTTGGTAATTGTAGCAGCAAGACGTAGAGGGACACACTTTGTCCGCAGTCCAGAGTATGCATGATCATTTCCGAACTCGGACCGTGGACTTGGTACAATCACAGACATTTCGCCGACAGACAACTCGTCAAAGAGACAAATGAAGTCAATCCTTCGATCCAATTGGTATCTCTCCTTCTGTTCTGGGCTATTATTCACATATCATATATTCTCGTACCGGCCCTTCAATATCATAATTCCTTAATTGCTCCTTTGAATGTGGTATGGTGTGTGCTTTTGAACAGAGTTTATGAGACCTCTTCACACTGCACTCGGGCTCTTTTGTTCTGGGAATGTTGATCCTCTTCGCATAACTCATATCAGAGTCTCCCTCTTGCTCCGGTTGGATCTGCACATTGTTTAACCCAACTCGGAGAAGATCAAGCAACAGTAAAATCAGCAAAAGAAGACGACTTGATCAAAGTGACTTTTTTGATTTTAGAAAACGGAATGGCAAGGAGACCAGAAAGGAGCAGTCAGAAGCCGAGAGGAGACGTCTACAGTGAGCCAACTCAAAACAAGCAGAAACACACGACTTGCGGTTGGCACACAAGAGACGAGGGCGTGTGAATTCATAGACTTGGCACGACGGCTAGAAGCAGGATTGGTGCGGCAGAGACCAGAGCTGGTTGGCCAACGGTAGACGCGTTTGATCAGAGACATGGTTCATGAGGCAGACGCTTGACGATGAGAATCACTCGGGCACTTTAGCCCCAAGTTAGTCTCCCGTCCAGCCCGAGAATCCACACTTTGTGTGGCTGCTCAGCGAAGGAGAAGGTTACGTACATTGTCGATACGAAAAGAAGCTGGGTTTCGATGAATCTTTCATTTCGTATAAAAGTGAATGAAGAAAAGATTCGTTGGCTTTAAGACGATGTACATGTTGACGCATTCTACGGGATTTCCTCCCTCGTTTCGGGTGAAAACGCGCTGAGCGTGGACTGCGTCAACATGTACATCGTCTAAAAGCCAAACGGCTGCAGTACAACGAATCTCTTTTTTATTTACTTTCATACGAACTGAAAGTCGCTATCATCAAATGCTGTAGATAACTAAAGCCTCGAGTAGTACAGATAGGGTTATAAGGGTCAATTCCTCTTGACCAGCTGTCGATTGGCTTTACTGGAAGATTCATGCTGACGTTGTTTCCGAGGTAATCTCCCTTGATTCCCGTGAAAAGGTGCTGAGCTTCCGTCCGCCACATGACGAACATCATCAGAGCAAGGAGGGTATCATCGTCACAACCAAATTCAAGTAAACAAGCCAAGAAAACTCACCGGAAAATTCCTAAAAAGTGGTATCTATACTCTACATCTGGCCCCTTTGATCAGATATCAAGTGATTTGGTTGGTTACGATCATATGTCAACCTCGAAGTCTGTGAGTGTGTCTGTCTCTGTATGTGTATGTGCCTGTTTGTGTTCGCTTATGCACGAAACCAGCATTAATGGCTGAAATTAATTAAGACACCAAAGGCAACGTCTGATGTTCGTCAAATGAAGGACGAAAGGTTAGCACCTTTTCGCCAGAATCGAAGGAGATTGCCTCGGAAACAGCGTCAGCATGAACGTTCCAGTAAATCCAATCGACAGCTGGTCAATAGGAATACCTGAACCAGGGAGATAGGAGACGGATCCTTCGGGGCAAGATAGAGAGCATTGCAGAATAATATAGCAAACTCAGATCAACATTCCCAGCATAAGAGTTTGGGTGAAAAAGTCCGCGTTGGGTGTAAAGAGGCCTCATGAACTCCGTTCAAAAGTGCACACCATACCGCATTTAATAAGCAATTAAGGAATTGTGATAATTAAGGGGTGGTACGAGGATATAGGATTGATCGGATGTTTTGGCTGGTTTTGCAGAAAATCAACAAAACCTCAAGGGTGTAGTAAATTTCTGAGAACCTTGAAGAAGATTAAATTTATCCACAAGATTTCCTCTTCTTTTTTCAACTTAAGTCAATGGCGCCAATGACGCGATTGCAAAATTTCGTTACTTTTGCTGAATGTCACTTGCGAAAGCAAAATGTTAGAAATTAGTAGTTAGTAGGTTTCGATACGATCAATATATGTGGAATTAAAACAGTTTATTCTATGCGAATAAGTTGGGGTTCAAGGAATCTATTGTTTCATAATTGTTGAGCTTACCTCCATTTCGAGTGAAAGTGTTGGGTGAAGAGA